GGGGGGCGACAAGAAGGGGACCCCGAGTTGGGCTATCAGAGCTGGAGGGTCCCAAGGAAGGGAGTAGGGGGCGGCGCCCACCCCTTGCCGTGCCCCTCAGGTGCTGATGGCTTCTGGCTGCAGGGCATGGGGCAGGATGGGGGGCCCGGGCAGGGTGGGGGGGCCCGGGGAGGGCAGTGGGGGTGACCCCCGGCCGTGCCCCCCAGGTGCCATGCTGATGGCCATCCGGCTGCGGGGCATGGACGCGGGGGAGACGCTGGCCCTGACCCGGGCCATGGCCGCCTCAGGCCGGGCGCTGGCCTGGCCGCCCGCCTGGCACGGGCTGGTGGTGGACAAGCACTCGACGGGGGGCGTGGGGGACAAGGTCAGCCTGGCTCTGGCCCCCGCGCTGGCTGCCTGCGGCTGCAAGGTGAGGGGCACCCCGGGGGGCGGGTCGGGGGTCCCCGAATTCCCGCACCCACCTGTGCCCACCCACAGGTGCCCATGATCAGCGGGCGAGGGCTGGGCCACACCGGGGGCACCCTGGACAAGCTGGAGGCCATTCCCGGCTTCCGTGTCTCCCTGAGCCCTGAGGAGGTGAGCGGGGAGGGACCAGCCAGGGGCACACGGGCACGGGGGCACACGGGCACCCCGACTCCTGCAGGCTCCGGCCTTGGGGGCACTGGGGGGCTCCTGTGGGGTAGGAGCTGCTGATGGGGTGTGGGATGCCAGTAGGGTACCCACGGGGTCCGGGGCAGGGGGGATGGTGCCACTGGAGTGTTGATGGAGTGCAGGTGTCAATGAGTTTTGGGTACCTACGGGGTGCTGGTGGGTTGTGGGAGCCTAAGGGGTCCCGGTGGGGTGCTGATAGAGTGCCAATGGGTTGTGGGTGCCAGTGGGGTGCCCATGGGTTGTGTGGGAACCTATGGGGTACTTACGGGGTGCCGGTGGGGTGGAAAAGGGGTGTGGGGTGCCCATGGGGTGCTGAAGGGATCCAAAGGGCAGAGGTGGGTGCTGATGAGATGCCTGTGGGTTGTGGGTGCCCATGGGGTATCGGTGCAAACAGGATGTTGATTGGATGCCAGTGGAATCCCAGTGGGACTCCAGCGGGGTGTTGATGGGGTGTGGGTGCCAAGGGGGTGCTGATGGGGTGCCAACCCGGCACGGCTGCCCCGCAGATGCGCAGCGCCCTGGAGCGGGTGGGCTGTTGCATCGTGGGGCAGAGCGAGGAGCTGGTACCCGCTGATCGGGTGCTGTACGGGCTGCGGGACGTCACGGCCACCGTGGACAGCGTGCCCCTCATCACCGGTACGGGGCACGGGGGGCACGGGGACGGGCACCCCGGCCGGGCACGGCCAGGGAGGGGGCTCAGGCAGTGACCCCCAACCCCCGGCACAGCCTCCATCCTCAGCAAGAAGGCGGCGGAGCAGCTCTCGGCGCTGGTGCTCGATGTGAAGTTCGGGAGCGCCGCCCTGTACCCCACGCAGGACAGCGCGCGGGAGCTGGCGCAGAGCCTGGTGAGACCCCGCGCCCGCCGGAGAGCCCCCCAGACCCCTGCCCTGGGGCTAGGGGAGCTGGGTTGGGGCACCTCTACCCACTGTCCCTGCCCACCCTCCTTATTCCTACCCGCTGTGCCCTCCCGCTGTCCTGCCCACCCTCCCTGCTCTTCCTGTCCGTCCTTATCCCTGCCTGCTGCCCCTGCCTGCTCTCCCTGTCCCTCCGCTTTCTCACTGTCCCTATCCCTGTCCCTTGTCACTGCCCTCTATCCCTGGCCCTGCCATCCCTGTCCCGGCCCGTCGCTGTCCCTTCCCTCCATCCCCGTCCCTTCTCACCATCCCTGTCCCTGCTTGCTCTCCTGCCTGTCCCTGTTTGTTCTCCCTGTCCCTTCCCCTGTCCCCGTCCCTGCTGGCTGTCCCTACCCGTGTCGCTGTCCGTGCCCAGGTGGAGGTGGGCACACAGCTGGGCATCCGCACGGTGGCCGTGCTGTCCCGCATGGATCAGCCCCTGGGCCGGGCCGTGGGGAACTCGCTGGAGGTGCTGGAGGCGCTGGAATGTCTGGACGGGGGCGGCCCCCCCGACCTGCGGCAGCTGGTCACGACCCTCGGTCAGCGTGGGGACACCGGGACGGGGGGGGGTGGACCCGGGTGGGGACGGGGGGACACGGAGGGACGAGGCCCAGGGCCGGCACACGCGAGTCCCGTTCCAGTCCTGACCTCTCCCCCTCCCCGGGATGTCCCCTCACCCCCAGACTTTTACCCGCCCATCCCCGGGGTCCCACTGCCCCGAACTCCCCTATCCTTGGGGTCCCCCTCATCTCCAACCCTGCACCCCCCCAGATTTGGGGTCCCACTGCACCTCCCCAGCCCCAGGGTCCCCCTGGACGCCCCCTCCCCACGTTCCCACTCACCCCCAGCCCTGAACCCCCCCAGCCTCAGGGTCTCCCCCTCTCTGTCTTCCCCCCACCCTAAGCCCTTCCTGGGGTCCTGACCCACCTCCCCTTCCCCCTGCCTGTCTCCCTGTCCCGGGGGGGTTGGAGGGGAGCAGAGGGCAGCGGGGGGTCCCTGGGCTGTTCCCCCGGTGTGAGGAGGTCCCAGCCCGTGCCGGTTTTGGGGTGCAGGCGGGGTGCTGCTGTGGCAGTGCGGGAAGGCGGCGGGGGCCGCGCAGGGCCGGGAGCTCCTGGGCCGGGCGCTGGACGATGGCTCAGCCCGGAGCATCTTCGAGGCCATGCTGGGGGCGCAGGGGGTGCCCCCCGACACCGCCCACAGCCTCTGCAGCGGGACCCCCGCCCAGCGCCGACGGCTCCTCGGAACGGCCAAGGTCTGCGAGGACCTGCCCGCTCTGCAGGAGGGTAAGGGAGACCCCCCGTGCACCCCCTGACCCTGATGCCCCCCAGGTGGGGGCTCCCCCCTCATACCCCTCTGATCCCCCCCTGCCCCCCAGGCTGGGTGCAGGAGGTGCGGGCGCTGCCCCTGGCCCAGGTCCTGCACGGGCTGGGCGCGGGGCGGTCGCGGGCCGGGGACCCCGTGGACCTTCTCGTGGGCGCCGAGCTGCTGGTGGGAGCGGGGCAGCACCTGCGGGCAGGTAAGGGGGCTGGGGGGGGGGCTCAGGGACCCCCCATAACTCCCCCACGTCCTCAGGTGAGCCGTGGCTGCGGGTGCACCACGAGAGGGTGGGTGGGAGTCTATGTGAGTGTCCGTGGGGGGCTCTCAAGCTCCCATAACCCCGCGTGTCCCCCCCTCTTGCAGGCGAGCCGTGGCTGCGGGTGCACCACGAGGGGACCCTCGGCGCGGGGGGGCGGCGGGCGCTGCAGGACGCTCTGCGCCTCGGCCCGGAGCCCCCCCGGGACCCTCCGCCGCTGGTGGCCGAGACCATCGTGCCCGAGGGGGCCGCCCCGGCCCCCCAATAGAGCCGATTTTGGGGGGGTGTGTGGGGGGTGTCAGGATTCCCCCCCCCATCCCCGGGGGTCCCGCGTGGAGCGGCGGCGCCACCTGCTGGTGGAGGCGGGGACTGCGGAGGGCGAGGCCACGCCCCCATCGCCGAGGCCACGCCTTCTCTCTGTCAAACCACGCCCCTCCCGCTCAGGCAACGGCTCCTTTCTATCAGGCCACGCCCCCGTCCTGCCCAGGCCACGCCCCTATTCTGCACAGGCCCCGCCTCCTCCCGCCCTCCCCCCCCCCCCCCCCCCCCCCCCCCCCCCCCCCC